TGCCTGAGCCGCGCGGGTCGTCACCCCTGCGGGTGAACGCCGCGTTTGCCGCGCGGTACGGTCGCTACCGGGAGCGCGAGGAGCTGCAGCGGCGTGAGTGCGGGGCGCATGCGCGCGGGGCACCGGCGCGTGCAAGGCAGTCAGGAAGTGGGGGTTGATCTGGTCCCCCAGGCTGACCTAGGGGACTCCCATCTATGCCCCACAGTGAAAGATCGCTACGGGGACCGGGACAGCGGCGGCGACTCCAGTTCCGAGTCTGACTCCAGCGAGGAGCGGGTGGTGAGCTTCCCTGCTCCCATCCTGGACCTGCGGGAGGCGACCAAGCCCCCCATCGCAGTCCAGACCTATAGTGGGCGGCTGACCCCCAACCCCATCGCGCCCCACGGGAGCGTCCAACTCCCGCCCCCCATTCTCACGAGGGACAGACACAGCGCCCTCCCCATCCCCAGGGGGTGGCCAAATCCTCCCTACTTCTCCTTCCCCACCTCAGTTCTATCTGCCCATCTTGATCTGTCTGGTGCGAATCCTTTGTTTACCTTTTCATCCCTGAGAGTCTAACCATTTCTCAGTGCCCGACTCTCCCCAAAGTGGGGCTTCTCTCTACCACATGGGGCACTCAGCTTCTCCCCACAACAGCCCTGATCTTCCCCGCCAGGAAGTTACCCTCCCCTTGCCTTCTACCTTCCTCTGTCTCATATCCGGTACTTATGTGGCCCACCCCCAAGAGGGCCCCTCCCCCCTCCACCTGTTTGACCTCCCCTCCCACTCAGACCCAGCCACCCACCTGCCTCTACTCAGCCGGATTCCCCCTGCTTCCTCCTAAAGACTACCCCTCCCTCCACCCTAATTCCCACACCTGGTCAGCCCACCTGCCCCTGTTCCTTACTGCTCCATCACAGCTCCTTTCTGAAGTCTGTCCCCACCCTTTTCCTGCTCTAGGAATTTGACCACCAGCAGGAGCGTGACTTTTACAGGACTCTCTCCTTGTTGAAGAAGAAGGATCCCCGCATTTATCAGAAAGATGCCACCTTCTATCAGAGAAAAGGTCTGGGGCTGCTCTTCCTGGGGCCCAGGTGCCTCCTTGTCTTATAGGCTGTTGTGACTATTTAATGAATATTTATGAGTCAAAACTAGTTAGCAGAGTATCTTAGGTTATTACCTGTGGTCATTAATAAGGGCTGTGTGCTGAACACTGTTCTGACTTACTAAATGGTTACTGGCAGGAACTACCAGCGAGTAGCAAGTGTGATACCTGTTTGATAGCTGGGATCTGGTGGCTCAGGGATTTGAAACTTTGGTCTGACTCTGGCCCAGCCCAGTATTGTTCTCTGCCTGGGGATGGAAGTGGGGTGTGGGTGTGAGTGATGGCTGATGTCTTCTGGTGGCCCCACAGCATCGTCCTCGGAGAGCGAGGAGGAGCTGTCAGCTGAGGAGAAACCAAAGAAGGTGCAGCCCATGTACCTGAAGGACTATGAGAGGAAGGTTATCTTGGAGAAAGAAGGGTGAGGAGAGAGCCTGGGTGACCCCTCCCCGCCCCTGCTTTCCCAGGGCAGGGGGACACATGGGGGACTTAGGGGCAGGGATGGGAAGGAGCCTTGGTGACCCACCTGCACCCCATCAGCCCCCTCCAGCTGTGGCTCCTAACAGCTCCCCACCCCATGGGGACCAACTGGCCACGGGGAGTCTGTTCTGAAGCCCTCATCCTTCCTTTCACAGCAAATATGTCGATGAGGAGAATTCCGATGGGGAGACCTCCAATCAGAGACTCCAGGTGGGTGGGGTGGAGGTTGAGTTGGGGTGGAGGGGCCCAGCACTGGGCCTGAGGCCCACGTCACTTTCTCTGCAGCAGATCTCGTCGAAAAGTTATGTGGAAGAACAGAAACAGCTGAAGGAAAGGTGAGCCCAGGCTGGCTGAGTGACCAAATGGAAAGGAGTTGAGGCCCAGAGGTTGGATGAGCTGGGGTTCCAGTCCAGCTCAGTCACTTCATGGCTGTGTGCTCCTGGGCACGTCACTTGCCCTCTCTGTGCCTCAGTTTCTGCATCTGTTACATAGAGTTGATCATGGCCTCTATGGCGCAGCACCACTTGGGGCTTGTCAGGAAGAGCTCAGGACTTAGTCACCAGGGTTCATCTTGGGGCAGCGGGCAGGGCCAGCCTGCCTGTCCTGAGGTTGGTTCTCTTGCGTGGGCAGCTTCCGGGAGTTCGTGGAGGATAGTGAGGATGAGGACAGCGCCGGGGAAGGTGGCTCTGGGTTGCTGCAGAAACGAGCTAAAAGCAGAGAGGAGAAGGTGGGTACTGGGGCCTAGCTGGCAGGGGGCTGGTGGTGGAGGCAGGGTGCTGGGGCCCTGCAGACCCTCAGCGCTGGCCTTTCCCCAGGCCCAGGAGGATGCCGACTATGTCGAATGGCTAAAGGGGCAGAAGGAAATTGAGAACACTGACACCCTGAAAGAACTGGTGAGTTCCCACACAGTGTCGCTGAACTACCACCCTGCCTGGTCCGCCTCCATCTGACCTTTTCATGGAAATAGGCCCTTGAGAAGGTAGCCAGGAGCAGGTGCTCTGAAGATGGGGTGGGCGCCTTTCTGACCCTCAGCTTCTACATCTATGAAATGCGGGTTATCCTACCTACTGTATGGGGTGGCTGTGGAGCTGTAGTCACTTAAATCTACTTGGTGCCTACATCCGCCCTCCTCCCCTGTCCCCGAGTTCCTGACCAGGGTCCCTTCCCCTTTTCAACCCTAGACTCACCTCAAGGAATACTGGAACAACCCAGAGCTGGATGAGGGGGAGTGCTTCCTTCGGGATTACATCCTTAACAAACGCTACGAGGAGGATGGAGAGGAGGAGGAGGAGGAAGAGGAGGAGGAGGAAGAAGGGTGAGTAGCCAGGCCCCCAGGGGCCTGGAGCCAACGCTGGCCAGAATGGAAAAGACCCTGGGTGTTTACTTGTTCACACAGTGGTAGCAGAGTTAGCCTTTCGTGAGGAAGAGCCACAGAGGGTGGGCTCTGGAGCCAGGTGGCCCTGCCAATGGATTTCCATACCTCAGTTTCCCCATCTGTAAAATGGGGGGGAATGGTAGCCCTCACCAGACGGTTCTGGTGAGGATTGAGTGAGTTAGTGTGCTGGTGCACAGGAGTGCAGGGGCTCAGCTGACCCCCAGCCCATCCTCAGGGTCCCCGGTCCCCGGGTCCAGCTGGCCGTGGAAGACTCCTCTGACGAGGGGGAGCTGTTTCTGAAGAAACAGGAGGACTTTGAGCACAAGTACAACTTTCGCTTCGAAGAGCCGGACTCTGCCTTGGTGGGTGGCCCGGGGCAGGGCCGGGGCTGGGGAGGACCAGGCTGGGAGAGCCCGGAATCATCTCCGCTGCCCACAGGTCAAGACCTACCCCCGGAGCATTGCATCCTCTGTGCGCCGGAAGGACGATCGCAGAAAGGAGAGGAGGGAGGAGACGCGGGAGCGAAAGAGGAGGGTGCGTGTGGGGCGGTGTGGGTGGGGTTGGGGGGCTGACTGGCTTGCAGGGAGAGCCCACACCCTCCCTTGACCCTGGCCCGCTGCCCCCAGGAAAAAGCGAAGAAGCAGGAGGAGCTCAAGCAACTGAAGAACCTGAAGAGGAAGGAGATTCTGGCCAAGCTGGAGAAGCTGCGGCAGGTCACGGGCAACGAGACACTGGGCTTTGAGGAGCGGGACCTCGAGGACGACTTCGACCCCGCGCAGCATGACCAGCTCATGCAGGTGCGACCCCCAGGCCCCACCCTGGCCAGGCAGCCAGGTGCGTGGCTCAGGAATCAGCAGTCCTTTCATTGCTGTGTGGCCTCAGAGAGTGACTTGACCTCTCTGAGCTTGTTTTTGTCTGTGAAGGCAGCCCAACCAGCCATAGCATCTAGCTCAGGGCTGTTCTAAAGATAGCCTGAGAGGAATACTAAACGTTAAGTTGGTAAATGCTTAAGGAACAGTGGGTCGCTGTGTTTCCTTTAAGCCCATTTACTAAGAAGTCAGTGTTTATTGTCGTATTTGGGGGAACACTGCATCAGGCCCTGAAACAGGCAGGGAGGGCTGGATGGGAAAAGCAGTGGGGGCCAGGGGCACTGCAGAGCTGCCCCAGAGTAAACCTGGGGGGTCAGGGTAGGAAACTAAGGATGCATAGGTGGGCAGGTGGAAACTGGAGTGGGTGGGTGCTATGTGGTCAGAGTTCAGCCTTCACTTTCTAGAAGCTTCTCAATCCTAAGCTTCAGTTTCTCAATAGAATGGAGGTAGTGTCTGTCTCTTGGGGTGCTTGTGAAAAATGCAGTGAGATGCAGACCAGAGTCGGGCACATAGTAGGTGCTTCACAAGTGACACGGTTAGCAGTAACTGCCTTTGCCAGCCAGTAACAAGGGGCAGAGAGCAGGAAGTAGAGGGGCCCAGACACACAGGGTTTCCCCCACATCAGGAGCTGGGTCCTGCGGGGGTGCCGGGGAGCCATGTATGGTGCGGGAGTAAGGCTGTCGGGGGGAGTGGGCCCTGCTGACCCTCCCCGCCCCAACCCTGCAGAAGTACTTTGGGGACGAATATTATGGCACCATGGAGGAGGAAAAGCCGCAATTTGAGGAAGAGGAAGGCCTTGAAGGTGAGGTCACCTGGGGCACTGGGCTGTGGGTGCGGGCACTTGGTCCAACCTGACCCCGCAGCCCATCCCTGCCTGTCTGTTCCCCGGCACCAGATGACTGGAATTGGGACACATGGGCTGGGCCGGAGCAGGGTGGAGCGTGGAGCCAGCAGGATCTGCACTGCGAGGACCCCGACTTCAATGTAGGTACCACAGGCACGGGGATCGGGGTGGGGGGTGCTCAGAGGGTCCCGAGGATCCCAAGGGCAGGCCTGACCTACATGTCCTGGCAGATGGATGCCGACTATGACCCCAGCCAGCCTCAGAAGAAGCGGCGTGAGGCCCCCGCGATGGGCAAGAAGAAGCGAAAGTCTCCCTTTGCGGCGGCTGTGGGGCAGGAGAAGCCTGTGTTTGACCCCGGTGAGGCCCGGGCAGGCGGCCGTGGGCGGGCAGGGGCTGCGAGGGGCCCGGCACACCCTGGCAGCCTGGCTCTCTCTCCCCGCACAGGGGACAAGACGTTCGAGCAGTACCTGGACGAGTATTACCGGCTGGACTACGAGGACATCATCGATGACCTGCCCTGTCGCTTCAAGTACCGCACGGTGGTGCCCTGCGACTTTGGGCTCAGCACCGAGGAGGTGGGAGCCTGGAGCGAGCAAGTGCTGGGACACAGCTTGTTTCTTCGTCTTACAAACAATAGGAATGGAAGTGCTAATGACCGTACTAATAATAGCACCTGCCTCAAAGGATTTCTGTGAGGCGGGGGCTTCAGTCAGTGCTTTGCCCACAGCAGGCCCCAGAAATATTACTTCTGTTACTGTATATTGGCAGCAGGGTGGCTATTAAGAGTGGGCACAGGTTCAAACCCTGGCTCAGCTGCTCACCAGCTATGTAACCTTAGACATGTGACTTACGGCTCTGTGCCTCGGTTTCCCCATCTGTAAAATGGGCCTAATTACATCCCCACCTCGTGGGCCTCATCTGGAATTAGGAAACCCAGTCACTGGCATGGAGACCCCTGCCCTCAAGCTGCTGGTGCCATGGTGCATGGGTCAGGGCTCCAGGGCCCAAACCATAATCTGAAATTAGCTACTTCCCGTGCCATATGACTAGGGGCAAGTATCCCCTCTCTGAACCTTAGTTTCCCTATCTGATGCCCCCAACAAAAAACATCAGGCAGCCTCCACAGAGATCAGTTCTTTCTGGCCATGGTGACGTGGGTGGTACTAGCATTACCCTGCCTTGACTGATGAGGTGACTAAGGCTTAGAGTCAGGGCTCTCCAGGGCTCAGGTGCAGGATCCCACCCTCCCTTTCCTTGCAGATCCTCACTGCCGATGACAAGGAGCTCAACCGGTGGTGCTCCCTGAAGAAGACCTGCATGTACAGGTGATGGGGTGTGGCTGGGCCAGGTGCCCCAGGAGGAGGGGTGGGCTGGCTGGCAGGCAAGCATGGGCATCACCCAGAACACCCAGTGACAGGTGTGTCCGCCTGGCGCCCGCAGGTCGGAGCAGGAGGAGCTGCGGGACAAGAGGGCCTACAGCCAGAAGGCCCAGAACACATGGAAAAAGAGGCAGATCTTCAAATCACTCTGCCCAGAGTGAGTGTTACTGGTTTGGGGGTGGGATCACCAGGCCCCAGTTTGAGTCATTGTTGCATGACCCTGGGAGAGGGGCTTCCCTTCTCTGATACTTGGGTTCTAATCCTGGCTGGGCCATAGCTGTGTGACCTTGAGCAAGTCACTTTCCCTCTCTGGGCCTATTTCCTCATTTATAAATAGGGATAAAGATAGTCTATTTTTTGTCAGGTTTTTTTGAGGATTAAGTGAATTAATTCAGGTAGAGTGCTTAAAACGGTAAATGCCAGATAGATATAAGCTCTTGTTATAACATCAGAGGTGACAGCAGCTCACAGAATTGATGTAAAGCTAAAATGAGTTAATTTGTGTAAATAACTGAGTATAGGCCGAGGCTCAACTATCAAAATTATCAGTGACCCAGTCCTGCCTCAGGGTTCAGGAGAAAAATCCCCGTTTTGGCATCAGACCCACCTTTGAGTCCCAGGCAGGCCCCTGAATTGCTGTGTCGCCGCCTCTCTGAGCCTCTCCTTTCCTCATCTGTAAAAATGAGGGATGTGTGTCCTGGAACAGGCCTAATCATGATCAGCCTGGACTGAGCCACTACTTTCCTCCTCCAGGACAGAGATGCCCACGGAAGCCACAGGGAAGCCACAGAGAGACAAAGCCAGCCCACAGGGGCAGCTGCCAGCACCTGATGGGGCCTGCGGGAAGCGGCCCCAGCCTGAGAGCCCCCCGGCACAGGAAGAGGCGGCCCCTGTGACACCCACGGAGAAACCGGCCCCCCGGAGGCAGAGGAGGGGCAAGAAGGCTCGTCTCTTGGGCCCTACAGTAACACTCGGTGGACGTGAGTTCAGCCGCCAGAGACTGCAGGCCTTTGGCCTCAACCCCAAACGGCTGCACTTCCGCCAGCTGGGCCGGCAACGGAGGAAGCAGCAGGGGCCCAAGAGCGGCCCCTAGGCTGAGGGAGCCTACAGGGTTCCTGGGGCTCCTCTCCTTCAGTCAGGCCCCTGGGTGCCCCCACCCACCTCTTGTTGACACAACAGACTCTCACTTTGGGCAAGGGAGTTTTCCCCTCTTGTAGATGTGGAAGCTGAGGCCCACTTAAGCTTCCTGGATGACTTGGAACCTCACCTTGAGACACACCCTGAGCCCCATCCCTCAAATGCTGGGCCTAGCCATAGCCAAGTTCTAGTCAAACGGCTTTATTAGCCCCCAGCGGCCACAGCCCTCCCGCCAACTCCCACCAGCCACTGGCGCTCTGGGACCAGAGAGGGGCGTGGGCGGTCCAGTGCAAACTACAGTACGGAGTCAGGCCCTGAGTGGGTGCCCGGGGGGCCCTCCCTCCCTCTCTGCCCTGCGACGAGGGCGCAGCTGGTGGGAGGCAGGTGTGCGGGCTGTTCCTGGCTGCATGGCCCCAGCCCGGAGGTCTCCTGGACTGGTCTCAGCTGCACTTGTCAAGGGGAGTTCAAGCTCCCACACCCAGCGTGACATAAATAAAAAAATAAATAGGGTCGCATCTTCTCCCCCACCCCCTCCCCTTTATAAAAACACAAAGTCCTCAGAGCTCGGGCGTTTGGCCTTGAGAAGCCGCCCCGTTCGAGGGAGCCGCAGTGTCGGCTGGGAGGGCTGGGAGCAGAGGTCGTCCAGGCTGTGGTCCTGAGCGTGGCCTTCGACCAGGGTGAACATGGGGTACCGCTCTGTGGCTGAGGAGGAGCTGAGGACCTGGTGGGAGGAGAGAGAGCAGCTCAGTCCCCAGACGGTGTTAATGATCCCAGTAGGTATAATTAACAGGTATATTTTATCAAGTGCTTGCTGAACTTAACTCCCATCCCTCCAGGGCAGTGATGCTGGCCAGCCAATCAGTGCCTTCCACCCCCCCCCCCCCGGCCAGAGCAATTGGCTC